TCCCTATAGTGTAGTTCCTATCTAGTGTTTCGTAGTTATAGTCTATTTCGTAGTTAGCATAATAAACCAGTGTTCCTTACTTTTGTACTTGTCCTGGGGAAGTAAGTAAGGTAGGGCAGTCTGGTTGGTCGCGACGGGAGAAGTAGGTTATGTCGCCGCGTTCAGTCAGGTGGTCCCTGTGTCGGGGGCAAGGATCCCGTCGCGAGGTTCTAGGCTGAGGTCGCTCGGCAAGGCTTGACCTTCCCAGCCGACACCCCTTGGTCCTCGGGGGGTTGGTCCGCCCTCCTGTCTCGGGGCGCAGGTAGGGCGTGGTGGTCCGGTGAGCGAGGAGCTCTGAGGTGCTCGTACCGCCGATGCGCATCGCGCTCCAAAGGGTGGCCATCAACTCGCGACACAAGATCTAAACATATTTTTTTCTGAACTTGCTGGACTGGTTTCGAAATGCTTCCATACCATGATCGGAAGTTGTTAATTACTCTCATTACATGCAAAAAAAAACTTACGTCGAACATGTCATATACATGAATCGTTTTTTTTTTGTTGGAAGTTCTTCTAAAATTCGAAAAATCATGTTCGAAGAGTTCACATTTACGCGTTCAGGAAAACTGCAAGGAAAGGGAACGGAGCTGAATAGAGCTAAAGTCATCTCGTATCATTGGTCTTCTAGTCCGACGGTGGTCTGTTTTGCGGTCCCGACCTGTGAGATACCCGCTGCTTGGACTAACATCTTCCCATCTTTCTAGTCGCGGTAATTCTGCTCAACTCACTGTGGCACGGTGTATCGCTATCTTCGCCGAGAGCCAGCAAGCATTCTAGAATGGGACTGCGAAAGGCTGCGTTGAAAGAAGCAAATAGGCAGAGCGTGTTTTGGGAATCGCGTATGCATAACTGCCCAAGGAACTACACGAACGAGTCATGGCCATCCGCGATCCAGCTGCGTTCCTAACATAATAAAAGGGTTACATCTGCGATTGCATGTGAACTGCACCTTTGCATAGCGAGGATGTAGAACCTAGGCTAAGTCTTGATAGTCTTCAAAGAAAATGGCCTCAAGGGTTCTTTCGAGTAATAGTAACTTTGTCTACCGAGGAACTTGCGCCCGGAATCTCTGATAGTAGTTAAACTTTCCTTGAGGAGGTGGCTCCTAAGAGGAAGTTGAGAAGCAGCGGTTCCAACACTAAACTTTCCAGATACCAGGGAGCCTTTTGCGATATTTTTTTCAGTGCCTGTAACATTTTAAGTTTTCCTAATGTGCAATGAAACCCACTAACAGTGTATCGTCTAGGTGGGCCTTTTATGAATAAGAATAGATTGTTCATAGCGTTTTTGCTTGCTCTCGTAAAGACAGTGGTGAAGGGCCTTGCCCATCACTCCTAACCCAAATTGTGTGAACGGATCCTCTATTATGTTGGGAATTTAGATGTGTTTCTTTGGCTTGTTCCTTAGATACGTTGCTCGTTGCTTTTATTCGATGGTGGTTCAATCTCCAGAGAAGCAGAATTTCTAAAGATTTTGTCGGCCGACAATTGTGATGTTTTAAGTTTTACTGAGAATTTGTTGAAACCTACTTACAACGTCCTCTATTCTTGATGATATTGTAGTTAGGTATAATGTCGTAAGGCGTAATGGATTTCAACATGTCTGGAGATGAAACAAATCCTCTGACGAAGTATGGAGTGTTCCTGCCATTCATGAGTCAGTTGCGGATTCCTCTGAGGCTCTAAGTGTGGATTTATAATGTGAAGGTTTTTGTTTATGAACAATTATGATATACAGAGCGATTTCATGTTTCAAAAGGAACATGACTGACAGGTTTCATGACTTACCAATTAGTAACTTGCAATAAGCCTGATGCGATAGTGAGGTATTTTGATTTCCCACAATTCTGTCATCAAAATGACTTCTGTCCAGGGTCGTCCACAGCGTCTGGCCTCAAGGGGTTGTTTCGGTGTCACAGACAGCATGCTAAGAAGCCAACAAGAAAAAAAGAATATTTCTGACTTATCCCGCCTAGTGTCCCACCTCAAGTGCGAAACTGAGGGTTGTGGCTTCGGTGGGGTTGAGTATTCGTAACAATATGCAGGGTAGGCCAAAATTATGATAACAGCGCGCGCTGATGCTCATAGCAAATTTTTTCTGAGTTCGTAACAGTTCGTTCGCCTTCTCTCATTTCACAAGGTAGATTATATTATTACCTCCGTAATGATACTGAGCTTCTAGTAGATTTTGAAAATTTTGTGAGCCAACCTCACAACCTTTGCATTTCCAAGCACTTTTATTAAGGTGCATCTATAGATGAATTAGCGTAACAAGGCAGTGCATTCGACCATAAGACGCTTTTGCGAGTTGGGAACAATCGTAGATATGAGTGGTAAACCTAAGAGGCCGCGTTTATATTTAGTGGGAATCTTAAAGGCACCGTTCACGATAATTTTGGGTGATCCAGATTATGATGAAAAATGGAAGACAAGATCGAAACTAGTGCGACTTAGGTGAAGAAACTGCGTGCATCGGTGTTTCCAAAGTGAAAAGAGGCTTCGAAAAAGTCAAAAAGGGGGCTAGACGAGAATGAAACCAGAAAAATGAAGAAGAGTGGGGTGTTCGGCCGAGCTAAACGGTGTGTTTCACTGAGCGCGTGTGGGTCTTGGTGCGAATATCAGACTATAGTAAGAAAAAATTCATTCACTTATAAGCATAAATAAACTTAAAAACCCTAGTGACAGCAAAAGTAGCTCACCTTTTTCAGCCTCTAGGAGTGGGAAATTAAATAAGGGATCGCGGGAGCAAAAAGAAAAACAGAGGAAAAGAGAATGGGAAAAAAACGTCGCCTCATCACTCGGCGATTAGCTGATTGTGCGTGGGTCCTAGAACGAATAATAGCAATCTGTATTGTCTCGACACTCGTCCAACGTGACACCGATTGAGGGGCGGGAACGCGAACTACGGCAACAACGTGGCTGCCATTATGGTCTAGACTTCGAGATTGGGGAGTGAGAGGGTCTCTTCTACAACCCATGGGGGCGGCCTGTATTAATAAGGTAAGAACTCAATACCTTTTTTTATCGTGAACGGTGCCTTCAAGGAAGCAGGGCGAAGGTCTGCGTAGCAGCGAAATTCATTCTAAGCCCAAAATAGCTGAATTAATGGATATCTCGTGAAGATTTTTGCGCGAAATCGGAAGCATCATCTGGACAACAAGACCTTCATACGGTCAGAAAGTGATTTCCCCAGTGAGCAGGCTAAAGAGAAGGAAAAGGCTGGCTCACAGAAGTTGCCACACCGCATCCGAAAATTTGGTGTACGGAATTCTTGTTCGAGTGACGGTACAGAGCGGAATGCATCAAAGAGCATCCTCCGAATTCTGCAGAATTTCTGTAGAAAATACATTTTACTTCACGGCATAGTCTCATTTGAATGCCCAGATTTTCACCCGCCACATATACGACGCATGAAAAAGGGACTCTGGGCAAAGACACGTGCCNAGACACGTGCCAGGTTTTCTGGCAGCTAGGGGTGACGTGGTGCAGTTTTGAAAACGTTGCGCAAACAATATCGCGCTCCAATGCCAGAGGAACAGAAGGCAAATAACTGAAACCGCTACGCAGCCGCACGCGGGTGGCGGAGGATGCTCCCTGATACATTCCGCTCTGTAGCACCACTCTTCTTGTTCACCATCAAAAAGATATTCACGGTTTAAAAGGTGCTCAATAAGCAGGGCAACAAGATTTGTATGAAGCTGAAAGAAATGGAAGTAATGCAGCGCTAGGCTCACTGACTTTATCCGATGGCCTCTGCCAGCGTCACCGTCGAGGAAAAACACCGATTATTTTTGTAAATTCAAGAGTGAAAGTTGATTTGGAGGCCTGTTCGATCTCTTTGTGCGCAATAGGACACTTTGGCGATTCTAACCGGGCATATTGCCAGGATGAAGCTCTTGACCACAGATCAGAGATTGCCTAGAAATTTCGTAATAGGGGTTCCCTGACTTCAAAACCTTCGATCAGTGAGCACTCTGGTGCCCTGACCTAACTCCCATGGATGTCTCAGTGTGGTAAACCTTCACGGGAATTTTGGGAAAGTTTAAATAAGCATCCTAAAAGGTGTAATGAATATATAGGGA